ATATGAAGGCGAAACTAATTGAAATGAATGGAATTGCACAGGACACCAATGGCAATGAAAAGGAAACTGGGACTCAAATCAATGGAGTGGACCAGAAGAAAGCAAATAATGGCTAAACAGAAAAGAGTCAAGAATCAAGAATTCAAAGAAATGAGGAGAGTCTTAGGAACCTCCAGGACATCTTTAAACGCTCCAACATCCGAATTATAGGGGTACCAGAAGGGGAAAAGGCACAGCCACCAGTGGAAAACTTATTTGAACAAATAATAAAGGAGAATTTTCCCAATATGGCAAAGGGAAATAGACTTCCAGGAAATCCAGGAAGCTCAGAGAGTCCCAAAGAAGTTGGACCCAAGAAGGAACACACCAAGGCACATCATCATTACATTAGCCAAAATTAAAATGAAGGAGAGAATCCTAGAAGCAGCAAGAGCTAAGGGGACAGTCACCTACAAAGGAGTCCCCATCAGACTGTCAGCAGATTTCTCAAAAGAGACCTTACAGGCAAGAAGGGGCTGGAAAGAAATATTCCAAGTCATGAAATCCAAAGACCTACAACCAAGATTGCTCTATCCAGCAAAACTTTCATTTAGAATGGAAGGACAGATAAGGTGCTTCTCAGATAAGATCAAATTCAAGGAGTTCATCATCACCAAGCCCTTATTATATGAAATGTTAAAGGGACTTACTGAAGAAAAAGAAGTTAAAGAAACATGAACAGTGAAAGGACAGCAAACTCACAGTTATTAACAACCATACCTAAAATGAAAGCAAACTAAAAGGACAGCTAGATCAGGAGTGTAAACATAGAAATGAAGATCTCAAGGAGGGTTAGCAACAGGGGAGTGGGAGGAGGAGAAGGGGGAGAAGGTACAGAAAATAAGTAGCATAGACAGTAGATAGAAAATAGATGGGGGGCAAGAATAGCATGGGAAATATAGAATCTAAAGGAATTGAGACACATGGTCATAAACTAAAGGGGGGGTAATGGTGGGGATAGGGGGGTAGGGTGGAGGGGAATAGAACAACTGTAACAGCATAATCAATAAAAAAATTAAAAATAGAAAGTTACAGTAAGCACTTTCTGCCTCAATTCAGGGTGAGGGAGTTTTAGCAAAAAGCAAGTCTCAAAGTGGCCTAGGTACAATGCAGGACTGATTCCCCAAGGAAGAACCTATCTGTGGGCATGGGTCCTGTGCATCTTTAAGTGGGAGCTGGGCCCACGCTTCACAGAATGGTCTTCTATAATTGTGGAAAACACTCTCACAATATGTATTTGGAGGTTTGAAAATATCATTAAACCTTGACTCAAAATTCTCAATTTCAAGCATCAATTCTAAGGAAATAACACTAAAAAGCTATCCATGGCAAAGTTGTGTTTACTCCTGTACCCTCAAGCCCCCCAAATTTTAAAAGGTAGATAAATGTTTAACCATAGTAGATTGATTAACAAAATTCAGGTGTGATGAATTAGAATATGATAGTCCTTAAAATATTTTCAAAGATATTAGAAATACCTCTGTATTTTAAAAAGAAAATCTAGATGCATCATATACATACATATATAAATAGCTTTGTAAAATATCTGAGCATAAAATCTTAAAGTACTGGTATTTGTCCTTTAGTGATGGAGTTGTTATGGTTTATTGAACTTTTACATTATTTATATTACATATTATTTTTTAACTAGAGAGATACTTTTTAGCAAAACTGAAATGATTGATTGTCACTAGCTACAAAAACAAAAGACGCTGAAAGATGGAATGGTGTCATTGATGACAAAATTGTAACTCATATTACTTTCTTGTTCCATTTGTAAACATTGCACAGGACTATTATAGTGAACACATTTTGAACAAAGATTATTTCTTATTTTTATTTTGGGCCATGTCTTTTTAATAAAGATAGCCATGGCAAGATTGATATTTGAAGAAAAGATGGAGTATATTAAGATATAAGACACACAATGTCAGGTTTAAGCAATGTTTTTCTGGAATTGTGAAAGAACTGAAAAAGAGAGAGCATGAATTGAGTGTTACAAAAAGCAGCATTAACTGTTAAAAATCTAAAAGTATCACAGAATGAATTGAGGAATTAGAAAATAAGTGAGACAAAATTAATACATTAAAAAAATCCAAGTGCTATTTCTATCAGTTCCTTAAATTAAGTATTTGGATAATGTAGTCACCAGGTGGTAGTTTGGTGTGGTGTCCTTGTTATTTTTGCACGTGAAGGAGGTTTCCTTCATTTCACTTATACTAACCCTTGCAAGATTCCTATAAAGTACAAAGAAAAAAACTATCAAAAAGTCTACAATTGAAACAATTTACAATAGCCAAATGATGGAAGCAACCTAGATGCCCATCAGTAAATGAATGGATAAAAAAACTGTGGTACATATACACAATGGAATTCTATGCAGCAGAAAGAAAGAAGGAGCTACTACCCTTTGCAACAGCATGGATAGAACTGGAAAGGATTATGCTGAGTGAAATAAGCCAGGCAGTGAAAGACAAATACCATATGATCTCACCTTTAACAGAAACCTAAATAACAACAACAACAACAACAAAACAAGCAAGCAAAATAAAAACAAAAACACTGAAATAGAGAACAGGCTGACAGGGACAAGAGGGGAGAGGGGAGGGAATTTCAGGGGAAAAGGGGAAGGATTCACAGAAACAAGTATAAAGGACATGTGGACAAAAGCTAACAGGAGTGGAAATGGGAGGGAGGTGGGAAGCACTGGGGGGTGGGCTGGGATGGGAATAAAAGACAGAAAACTGTACTTGAATAATAATGAAATAATTTTTAAAAGACATTCTAAATATATATAATAGATGTGTTAAGTTGTAGTGACTACTTAAAGATGATACCAAGGTACATGGGACTCTAATATTTTAAATCAGACAAACTTTATCTGCAATGTGCAAAATCTGAACCATTCACAGGACTAGAGCTTGTTTAATTGCTTAGAGATTATAAATTAAATCCATTATTTTAACTCCTTCATGGGTAAGAATGGAGGGAGTGAGGTTAGTGGTTTGAAATCAAGGTAGTCCAAGTCCATAAGGCTAGCTCTGTCAGTTAATACTATTTAACTTGGAAAAGTTGCTTTACCTCTCCATGTCAGAAACACTTGTAAGTGAATGGGGTAATTATTTACTACATTGCTGCAAGGACTATATACAATAACACATGAAATCACAACTGACACAGAATGGGTATTCAGTACATAAATGCTCCCTTGGTTATATACTAAGATTTTTTTTAAGTAAAGGATCAGAATTGTGCTTTCTGGTAGGCAAATGGAAGCTGCTTTACAATAAAACAAGTAGTTTGTTAGGAGAAAAAAGTAGGAGGCATTCATAATGATACATATATGAGCCAATAAATACCATGGAAGAATAAATATTTACAGAGTGCATTTGGGAAGGCATCACAAAAAATATCAAGCTGAGGAATAAACTGCTTAGGTGTCAAGAAGAAAAAGAAGAGAATAGAGTGATTGCAGAGATCCAGCCTTACATTATTGGAAGAACAGATATCTTTGAGATCTTACAGTCTAGGAAAAATATGAGGGATCTTTCAGAGACAGAAATCAATTTAAATTCAGCTTCTTGACAAATATCAGAGAGATATGATATTACACGTGCTGCTAAAACTTCTCAAGTGAAAACACAATGCTGTAAGGACCCAGAAAAGTTAAAGACATAATTCCCAGTAAAATCTTCCCTTTCCATGACTGACACAAGTAAGAATCATTACAGCTATGAGTTTCAGTAAACTATCTTAAGCCTTTAAATAAATTGATATTAAATAAATAGGAAATCTACTAATTTTTTTAGAGAATTATATTCCTAAGACACTGGGAGCTTGAGTAAATTATAAATTCTTCGAGACTCAAAACAACTTTTAGGTCTTTCAGCTTTCTCCAAGAGCTCCCAGGACAAAAAAGGTTGTCAATACTAACTTTAGATATATCTCAAAAGGACAATGGGAAAGTAAGAACACTTCAGAGAGTAGAATCAAAGTCCTTTGTTTTTTGGAAACAGAATTAGATTTAGTCAAAAAGTGTTCTCCAGCCCAGAACAGGAGGCTTTGACAGCATTCTTATCAGAGTTCAGGTTTCTATGGATTCCATTACCTCTCTCTTTCCCTTTCTGAATGAGATCAGGGTTTATTGTGGTCACGTCATCTCCATTCCATATTAACACTGCAGTATAGGATGTATGGTTGCCTCTAGTGTGTCCCCTGATGGGAACTGGCCTGCAACCCAGGCATGCAGCCTGACTGGGAATTGAACTGTGGATCCTTTGGTTCACAGGTCCATGCTCAATCCACTGAACTACACCAGCCAGGGCCGGATTCTTCCTTTTTGTTCACATACCTCTAGTCTAGGACAAGTTATATTTGGAACCATTGAATAAAACTATAGGACATCACCCTGAGATTCCAGACTTTGAGCTTAATGTCTTGGATGAATGAGACTTTGGGTTTCATCATTTGTTGAAGATTTGAATGTATCATATGTGTGTGGGGGGGAAGAATGAAGAAATGCTAAGTGACCAGAGGAGTACGCTGTGGTGAAGACAGTGGTGTCTCCCAGAATTACATGCACTACTCTGCATTCTCCAGTCCTCCTTTGGTTAGAGAGGGCTGAGTGACTTGTTCTGATCACTGCAACTATAAGAGGATATAACAGGTTTTTTTTCTGGACTGAGGCAGGACATACAACTTCCCAGTTTTCAACTTCCCAGATTTCTCTCTCTCTGTTTAGAATGGAGATTGTGGGTTTAGATGACAATGGATTGTTCATTAGTTTGAACCTCTTTTGCCTTTAAAACCTGAAATAGATATATGACAAATTAAAGAAGTAAACTTTGGGGATTATTTTTATAGCATAAAGCTGCCATATACTGATTATTACAGAGATTTTCTGGGACAATGATTAAGAAATAGAGGGTAACAATAATTACCCTATTCACTCACACGCAGATTCATGGGTTGGGATTTATGGCAGGCCCATCCCCCCTGGGTCTCTCATAGTGCACTATGCCACAGCCAACTTTGGGCTTTAACCCTTGTCTGGCCTTGGCCCATAGGCTGCTGGCACTGACATGGGTTATAGTGAAAAGAAAGAAAAGAAAAGAAAAGAAAAGAAAAGAAAAAAGAAAAGAAAAGAAAAAAGAAAAGAAAAGAAAAGAAAAGAAAGGAGAAAAAAGAAAAAAAAGGAAAGGAAGGAGAAAGTGGAATAAGGAAGGAAGGAAGGAAGGAAGGAAGGAAGGAAGGAAGGAAGGAAGGAAGAGGGAGTGGGAAGGAAGAAGAAAGGAAGGAAAGGAGGAAGGAGAGAATAAATCTTGGGTGAGCAATGGGGGAAAATAGAGGACAACTGTAATGAACAATAAAATTCGTGTCTAAAATTTGTATTTTCTCGAGGTTCAGTTTAGATTGTTGCATTTTTTTTACTGTATACTCTTTCCCTAGGTTAATTCTTATACTCCCATGGCTTTGATGCACTAAGCAAGATCACTATTCTGACCTCCCTATGCACACGTTCAGCTTTCTTCTCAACAATATCTCCACTGAGATGCCCTAGAGAGTGATCAAACTCAGCATGTTCCAATTATCTTACTTTAATATTGCTCACTGAAGGAAATGATAACCTTTACTTGAATTTTTTCAATCCAGAATCTCTCCTACCTCCCCTATCAATTGTTTTCATCTCTTCTTATGCCTACCTTAATAATTTACAAGTTCTACTTATCTATATTGCAGCCAGAGTGATCCCTTTAATCCTGAACTCTTTTTTTTATGGTGATAAATGTTAACTAGACTTACTGCAGTGATCGTTTGCAAAATATACAAATATGGTAACATTATGTTGTATACCTGAAACTTGTATGCCCATTATACCAAAATAAAATAAAAATAAGTATAGACAAAAATCTTCACCACCTTACTATTATGGCACCTCAAAAAGTCAGTAACACTTCCTTTATATCATAAATTACCTATCACATTCAAACATAATCAACAAAAGAAAAAAAACAAGCAAAATACAACCAGAGACTTTTAAATTAAGAACAATCTAACAATAACCAGAGCGGGGGGGGAGAGAACAATGGGGAGAAGGGTTTTCAGGAACTACTATGAATGACACATGGACAAAACCTAGGGGGAGGGTGGAAGCAAGGGAGAAAGGTGGGTTTGACTGGGGTAGAAGGGAGTAGAGGGGAGAAAATGCAGACAACTGTAATCGAACAACAATAAAATAATTTAAAAATAAATAATAATCCTGAATTCTTAACTGTTTTAGAGAAAAAAACTTTCTAATGATTTGATTTATACTGCTGTCAAAAAAAAATCACATCTTTAACATTGCCTCCTAAACCATAAACAAGATGGCCCTGCTTCTCTTTCTATTACATTTTTGCCCCATCCTCAATTCTTTTTATGTACCATACTTTTGTTTTTTCACATCCTCCTTCACATGGCCTTATATATTCTGTTCTGTATAGAACACCTTTTCTCCTTATTTTTATCTAACTGTAATTTGATTTTCTCTTGTTTTATTATTATATCTTATTTTCTCCAAATCTTTGACTGTATTATACCACCTCTGCTTTTCTTTCATGGCATACTTGTAATTATTTGTAAGTATTTGGTCATTTTTATATGTATATATATCCTCTATATTTAAGGGTCACATGAATGAAAACCTTATTTTTCTTTTTCATTAATATAACTTTTGTCCCTAGAATTGAACTTGCTATAATGTTCACTCTCAATAAATAGTTATTGACTTCATCAAGGGACACCCTGGTTCATTCACATTAAAATCATTATGGAATAGCCCTAGCAGGGGTCGCTCATTTGTTTGGACTGTCATCTGAACTGACAGTTCATGGGTTTGATTTCCATTCCAAGTCAGGCACACACCTAGGCTGAGTGTTCCAACCTCAGCCTAGGCATGTATGCGAGGCAACCAATTGATGTGTCTTTCCCCCTTTATCTGTTCTTCTTTCTCTAAGAGTAATGGAAAAATAAAAATAAAATCATTAGGTAATAAATTAAAATAGACACCTGGAGAACAAAAGTCACAATTGTACCTTCAATGAATATGTCTGTTCATCATTTTCATTGGAGGAGGAACCTTTGATGAACAAGGAGACAGAGTTGTCTTGCTCTTCTCCTAAAGCTTCTCCTCCCACATGCAGAGGGATCTGGTGAGCAAAGACGAGAAAGGGTACTGCTACCCTGGGTAATGGCTGAAAGAGACAAAGCCTGGGAAAGATGGCTTGGAGCAGAACTGCCAAGTTTAATTGCCAGGGGTAAAAAAGATCTTCGAGACTTCCTTTTTTATCCCTCCTGCTACTTCAAAATTAGTTTTATTCCATTACCATTTACCCCCCTTACAGACTCCTTCCCCCTGTAATCACCACACTGTTGCCCAAGTCTATTAGTCCTTTTTCTTTTTTGTCTCCACCCGCTAACTCCCTCATAGCTGTCAGCCTGCTCACTTTGAGTGTCTTTATTTTGCTTATTAGTTTAGTTTGTTCATTAGATTCCACACATGAGTGAAATCATATGGAATTTGTCTGTCTCTGACTGGCTTATTCACTTAGCATAATGTTCTCCAGGACTTCCTTTATTATTCAGCATATTTATAACAAAGTTAGTCATAATGTGGACCAAAGTTATAGACAGTAATTAAGCACTGGGTTTGCAAAGACTGTCCTCAGTTAATAACCACTCTATGTAAGAAAGCTATTGGGTAAAAATAATGATGCATATCCCTAATATCATGTGATAACTGGGTGACAATGTGTTATTTTAAACTTCTTGCATGCATGACCTCAATTTTTCTTCATAGAAATTTTACCGTGTACATAGTATTTTAATACTCACTTTCTAAATGAGGAACCTAAAGTTTAGGGAATCCATTCACTTGCCCAGGAACTCACAGTTTAAAGACAGTGGTACCCATTCCAGTTAAAAAAGTTTGTGTGCAGAATCTAGGTAGGGAGTTGCTGTGCATTTCTTGACAAACTCAAAAGAAATTGTTGGGCCTTCCTATTGAAACTTTATGTGAACTAGTCAGATGAATACAAGTGAAAATATTTTTCCTTAAGTTATGTCATTTCCAGTGACATTATCCTCCATTTATTGTCTAATCTCCACATAGGAAAATCCTCAGGCATTTGGTATTAATGTTGTAAATATTATTTAGAAAATCAAGTGTGTCTGTTTAGCTTTACAGAAAAATTTTTCACCAAATTATTCTCATATGCCATAATGTGTGGTTTTGACACCATCATAATTCCTTGCTAAACCTTAAGCAAAGATGTACATGCTTCATATGGTTCTAACTTATTTTTAGATTTCCATTGGGGGAATCAGGCTTCATTGGTAGTAGAAGCTGAAATGCAGGGATGATCCTAATGGAAAAAATAATATGTTTGTTTATAAAATTAGAAAAGGCTAAGTGAATTTTATATTACATTTTCAAAATTCTTTTTCATGTAGATAAAGAAGAAATAATTTCAGCCTAGTGGGTAGATCTATATACATCAAAGTATTAAAAATAAAGCCCCATTAATGCACTTGATTTCATGATGTGATATCATATCATGATATGATGTGATTTAGTGTGCCAGAAGCAACCTAGTGGCTCCCAAAATCTCCACACTAGACTGTATGTGTTATTCAAAATTCCAACAGAGAATAATTCTTTTAAATTTAGGTGTTATTCCTGGTTAAAATGCAAATACTCTGCTTGAGAAAATACATTTATGCCCAAACTATTTATTAATATATAAATATTAATTTATTCTCAGATACTGTCTAATGATGCAGACATGAGAATAGAAAATTGACAGGAAATGAGATATGATGAGAGAATGGGGCCCTAATGTTCTAGGTGGACATGATGGGGAGTCTATGTAAGTCAGAGACCAGCACTGGGCCAAAGAATTTCTAGAGAAAAGGGGAAAGTAACAAGACAGAGCAAAGACTTCTAAAAGGGAGTTTGGCAAGATACTAATTGCATTTGTTTGGCTTTTGAATTTTTCTAGGGCTGGCCATGACTTTCTGCATTCTGACATTTTAATACCTTAGAAGAACTTCTGAAAAAATCCTGAGCCCTTAATTTTGTCTCTATTCATAACCCAAATGAAATGGTGCCTTAGACTCCCAGATACGGACTCACATATGGACTCAGATATGGACCAAGATGTCAGAGTGGGGCAAGAATGCAGGGTTCCTTTACCCAGAGCACCTGTATTTGTCCAGCATGAACACCAGAAGTGACCTCTTCTTCTCTGAAGGTTCGTGTTTGGTTTATCTGATGTATATTCTGGAAATCTATATTTTGACAAGTATCTCATGTGATTCTCATATTTCAGCAAGTTTGAGAAACCCTAGTCATTTAACAGATCAAAAAACTGAACAGTTGAAAAGAGAAGAGACTTGTTCAAATAGCCCAATGATGAGAATCCTGATTATTGAAAAATCAAAACATCTCAATTCAAATGGTCATGTTCCTCTATTCACTATACTGAGCCCTCCCTCACTGTTCTTAGATTTATCTAGTTGTACAACTGGCTTGATACCTTTTCCTTCTTTCCTTCTCTATGATTCTCATATATTTTACAATCCGAGGTAAATCAGATAATAATAGTGTAGAGCAAAGATTAGATTGCTCTGGTGTTAACATAAATAAATTTCACTTATGAGGAATGTGGATTACTGGAAGGGCCAGGTAGACAGAATTTTGCTTTGTGAATGGAGAAGTCATTCAGAGGTTAGAACGCTGTAGGGTACTGTTGTTAGAAACAATAATTCAAGTCCATAGATGTCTCTGCAGTAGTTCCTCTCAGCCAAGGCAGGGGGTTGGGGTAGGAGGCCATCCCTAGGGAGTAACTATTATCAGGTTGGAACAGGCCCAGGAAAGTAGGATGCCTTGTTATTAATGGCAAATAAACTAGATGATGCTGTCAAATAATTTCTATCTATCCAGTCCTGTCTTCCATGCTATATCATTCTCTTTATGTGTGGTTTTGGAATTATGCTCAGGCTGGCTCTACAGTCAGTTTCCATGATTCGAGAAAAGGCTGGTAGCCAAAGTGCTTTC